TCACTGCTCCATTCTCAATGTTCTAACAGTGCCCAGCACAGAAAAAGATTGATAATAAATGAGCTCCATGAGTCAATTGCATGCAGCGGTTGAGTGTGACAAGCATGATGTCTAGTTTTCTGACTTCTCAAGGGATGCAAAATGAGATTGTAAGCAGAGAAGCTTGTGGGCAGGTAGGTTGCAAGGATAGAAAACAAGGGAATGACACCATTTTGAAAAAATTATACTTCCTTTCACCATGAGTATCATAATTTCAAGTCAGTAATTTAAGGCATTTGCCTCACACAAGAGCTGAGAAGATAAAATTTCTAACTGAATTTGGGGTGAACATATTTTTTTCTAGAAACACATTATTTGCTTTTTGGGATTTACAAGACTCATTCCATCTCTGGGTGTCCTATATTTGCTAAGGTAACCAACCATATGAAAGAAGTCTATGAGTTTTTTTAGCATGGGTTTAAAATACTACATTTATGATAAATAATAATCGGACTTTTCACTTAACATAGCACCTAGGCCAAGAGATTCTCTCTGTATGGGTTTTATTCTACAGATATACTCACTCACCTAGGTGCACACAGGATGCTCACTGTGTTACAACTGAGAAATGATCCAGAATTATCCAGAAAGTGGTGCATACTTACTCCATGCAATAAATGACACATTAGGCAGCCAACAAATAATAGTGCCCCTCTCTGTGTGGTTTGAGATCAGTGGTCTCCAAGTTAAAGCGTCAGGTGAGAAGAAAAATACAGAATACAGTGTGAAGATTGTCATCACTTGTGTGAGAGGGAGAAGAGTACATTATGTTATGTAGAATGTCTCTAGAACTGTTGCTATGCTTGACCTTAATGGACAGAAGTGATGTGCTTACTGTTCACCACACATCTTTTTATGCTGCTGGATTTCTGGGATTCTTTTCAGCCTTGTATGTATGTTACCTGATCAAATCTACTTCTTCAAGGCAAGACAATGATGAGAATGTCAAAAAAAGGCAATAAAGCATAAAATACAGCGGAAGAAATATGACTTGAATGTAAGTCTATTAAAGGCAGCTGGATTCTTTTCTGTAATTAAGAAAGAGATGTTCGCTAATGTACTGTTGATCAAGACAAACACCAGGACGTGAGATACATGTTTGGGTGCCAGGCAAAATGAGGGGATGGGCAGAAATGGAGGAGAGCAAATGCAGTCATTATATTCGATGTATATTATGTAAAAAAATGAACTATATAACTTAAAGGTAGGGACAGGAAGGAGTAAGTGTGCGAAAACAAGGAAATGGATGACATTAACCAGGAAGCATTGTATCCATACCTGACTTGAGGAATTGAATCACTTTGCACAGCTACTTAATAATCATCACTTTTAAAGAGAAAGAGATGTTCTGGTTTCAGACCAAAAAAAAAAAAAATCTAATCTTGCTATTTATATACCTAAAGCAAAAATGATAGGAAGAAGTCAACTTAATACTCTAGGAAACAAGTATCTAAAGGTAGAAGAAATGATGAAATTTTTTTGAAATTAGCACTAATTAATTGTTCAAATTAATAGATTTTATTGTGATTTTCCATGCATGCATATATTATATTTATCATGCCCCTCCCTTGTATTCCCTAACAACCCTTTTTTCAGGCCAACTTTTCGCTTTAATCTACACCTATGAGAGCAAGGATGTGATACTTGTCTTTATCTGGCTTATTTCACTCACATGATGACATCTAGTTCGATCCACTTTCTTTGCAAACAACAGGATTTTATTCTTCTTACAGCTGACCAGACTCCCTTGAATACTAAAACATAAACCATATTTTCCTTGTTCCTTCTCCTCTTAATGGGCATGTAGGCTGCTTCTTAGTGTGGCAACTATGACTTTGACTCCTTTAGGTATGTATAACCCTCAGTGGGGTAGCTGTAACCTATGATCATTCTATCTGAAATTTTTCAGGAATCTCCATTCTGTTTTCCATAGTGGCTATATTAATCTATTTCCCACTGATGGTGCATTAAGGTTTTTTCTCCACATCATCAGTAACATTTGTGAAGAAAAAAATAGCTATAAATTAAGAACAATAATACTGGGGCTGGGAAGGTGGCTCAGTGGTAGAGCGTTTGCCTTGCATGCTCAAGGCCCTGGGTTCGATTCCTCAGCACCACATAAGCAAAAAGAAAAAAGCCGGAAGTGGCGCTGTGGCTCAAATGGTAGAGCACTAGCCTTGAGCTGAAGAGCTGAGGGACAGCGCCCAGGCCCAGAGTTCAGGCCCCATGACTGGGCCCCCCCCCAAAAAAAACCAATAATACTGATTGATCAAAGCAAAATTTGATGTTCTAAAATCATCATGATTTTTAGCTAGTAAAAAAAAAATCAGGAGACATTTTTAAAATTCTACACTTCTAGATACAGAGGAGATTTTAAAAATCATACATGTAATTCTATATATAACTGTGTACCAATAAATGTGAGAATCTGGACGAAATGTTTGATTCTAAGAATTTCATCGGATACTGAGTTTCTTAATTCTTGTAAACAATGAGCTCTGAAGTTAGTTAGTGGTTTTCTTCAGCTTGCTTCA